TTTAACTGCAGATCCTAATCTATTGATTAGTCCCCTTGCTTTCCTCTTTCTGGGGCATATTGCCTCTAATCTGCTCTTGATCATCTGTAATTTGTTTTGCAAACCTTAACAAGGTCCCTGTTTCCGAGTCTTCAACTATCTCTGTGAGTGTTCGTTCCAACTGTTCTGTTGCCTTTTGATATTCTTGTAATTTTACTATGTGTATCAATGTTTCATGAGTTTTTATTATCTTTGCAGCGCCTAGATTTATCTGTGCTAGTGGTTCTTCTCCTAGCAATGGCCGGATCTCGAGTTTCCTATCTGCGGCCATGATCCTTGACCACCTGTAATTATTAATCGTTTGGTTTGATTAATCTTCTGATTTTTCCCATATGGATTTTTTGTGGTTTAGTAGAGGTTAGTGTGAAACCGTTGTTTTTCATCACCTTGTGTTTTGAAAAACGAGGAGTTAATTTATCCCTCCTGTTTTCCTTCCTAAATATTTTGTCTCCTGGTTGTACTGTGTCCGGGTTTTGTCGTCGATATTAGCCGCCTCTATTCTTTTGTTCTTTTCTTGCTGAACCTTTTCCTTAATTCTTGGATAAAGCTCCGCTTGAAAGGCATTAATCTTCTGTAAATGATCGAGTTCGTTATTAAAGGACACGTTATTTAGGAAGTTGTGCGTTCTCCCTGTAAACAACTCCTTCGGTGTTAGTTTCGTTGCTGAATGAATGGCGTTATTTTAAGTTATAAATGCCTCATCTAGGACTTCTTCATGCCTGGTTTTAAGTTTCTTTTTCCTTTTTGTCTCGTTTATTAGTCTATATATTTCTGTGATCGTCGAGTGCAATCTTTTGACTGTAGAATTGCTCGACGATTGCTGAAAGGATGTAGTATGTAGCTCTAATTCGTACTGCCTACAAAAGTCCTTGAACAAGTTGGAAGAGAATTCCACTCCTTGGTCACAGACTATCTTTTTTAGGCACCCCGATAAGGCCATGAAACTCTTTACTGCCTTAACGATTGTTCATATCGCACCAGGCTTGGTGCAACATCGCTAGCTTGGCATCACTGTTGCCCAACCGGGTAAAACCTCTCTCCATATATGCTCAGGCTTAGACCTCACGCCATATTTTTTGTAGAGCATTAAGAGAAATGAAGTGCATGAAGCAGCCAGTGAATTCAACCCCGAAACCGAATTTTTATTAAACACTTGGAAGGACTCAGCACGGCATAGACCCGCCCCTACATTTGATCCTTAGAACCGGATTCCACCAGCTTATCGTTTCCCACCAGCTAAGTAATTTCAAGGTTTTCTATTTCTATATTTATATTTTTTTAACACACACACTCCGCACTCCAATTGGACTCCATTTTGTGTGAAAAAAAAAATATATATATAAACATACCTGTCGTCTCTTTTGTCGATTCTAATTTTCGAGCATAAATTTGTAAAATATACATCATCTTCATTCGCACCTTCACACACATACAAGCTTTAAAGATAGACGAAACCACATTAGGAAAAATCATTCCTAATGATTATATGTTACAATTAAAAGATAGTGTTAAAACAAACTTTAAATCAACGGAATTGGAGCCAAGTACTGCAAAAAATGATTTTTTTTACCCCAGTCCAGTCCACGGAACAAAAGGTACTATTTAAAATGTCAATTTTACAATAATTTTTCAACACTTAAACATTTTTTGAAAAAAAAAAACCATTTCAAATAATCTTTACACCCGTTACTCGTATACTAAAAGGGTATACTCTATTCGTTGAAAAGAATGTAGCAGGGTAGAGTTATATATATTCTTGATCAGTATCAATAGCAGGGTAGTCAGTGGTAGAGTTAAATTTATATATACTACTTTCTTTACAACTTAAAAAAAAAAAAAACATAAAATTAAGAAAATTTAATGAAATCTTGATTTGAATCGATAGTATGGTCAATGTTGGCCGCGACCTCGCCTTAAGTGCTCCACCCCACCTGCCGGTATTGATAATTCACGGTTCTTGGACATATCTTGGACATTTCATTTCGCCCATTACATGAACGTGTTGATGTCCAACAAGGTAAATTTGGTGCGAAATTTCATCACAGCACCCTAAATAGCCGACAGAGAAGGTCGACGAAACTGTCCATAAAATGAAAGCGCGCGTTAACTATAAGTAGGTTCTTTGACAAATGTTCCTGGATAAGGCCGACCAAATAAATGTTTGGACTTGCTGGTTTCAAGTTTAAAATCAGAATGAATTCTTTATTTTATAATTCTTTTCTCGAAGCCTAATGTTTACATATAATATGCCGACCTAGGGGAAGGGAATCGTAATTGGAGCGGATGCATATATGGGGCTTGGATTCAGCAGTGGTTGCGATGTTTGTTTGGTTGGAAACTTAGTTGCCAATGAAATGTTTGGTTCTAGCTGCTCGCCAACCGTATAGGTTTAGGTGGGGAACCGCCGAGGGAAAGTGACAGGTGGAGCAATGGTTTGTGCGAAACTAGCGGGTGGGGAGACTGGGTGAAGGTGGTCGTTCGCTTAGAGAAACAAGCCACAGCCAATACTATTATCATAATCACTGACAACATGGTATATGTCGCTGTCGTGTGTATTGTTGCTCCCGTTTGTATCCCATTGATCCATAGTTTCGTTTCCAAATCTTCCATTTTTATGTCATGGATTCTCAATTCTTGGATTGTTCTGTTCTTTTTCATGGTTGAAATTTGTATACCACAGCCTTTGTTTTGCCGTACCAAGTTTTTCTACCGCCTCATATTGGACGTTGTTCACCATGGCTCTGCACCCGCTAAATGTGATCATTACTGACTCATTCTGGGTTCTGCTCTGTCCACAGTCTGTTTGCAGTTTTACATTTTCCACTCTGGTTCGAAGTTCCTAGTTACGAGTCCGGCATCCCTCGTCTCACAATCCGCTTCCTTTCCGCTAATCAGACTTTTAAATCATTCTTCATTAATTTGGTTTACAATCTTATTATTCTTACAAATATACAAATTTCTTATCTTCTAACATTTATCCTTATAATAGTACATTTGTTTATTATTTACTACATAATCTGGTGCGATTATGAATTCTGTTTTGTTCATTGGAAAAGGTATCATTCTCTGTAAGTAGTACTCTTCTTTTTTAAAAATTGGTAACCTTATCGAGAAAATTATATCCGTGTTTTTCATAATTGCCCTTAGCTCCAAAAACTCATACATATGCTCCAACAACCTGTATTCCTTGCTCCTCCAACTCTTTTATGCATCTGTTTCCTGTTTATCGTAAATAAATTTCGAAATTAGTCCTATCTTTGCTAATAATAAACTTTCGACAAACTCATTCAAGTAGCCCTAGCATATCTATTGTTATCGCAATTCTATCGATATATTCTATCCTATAAATCCTCTTGTCTTCCTCTAAAAACGTTTTGCTGATTCCATTCTTGTAATTATTAATAAATGTCGTTACTCGACCTTGCTCCTCGTTTATATATTTTGTCAAGTTTTTAAACATTATCTTGATTTTAGCTCCTGTCCTCTCTTGTGAACTCAAATTCTCTTTCAATCTCCTCTCCTCTTCCTGCATTTTCCTTTTCTCCTCTTCTAACCTTTCTGCGTCTTTCGCGTCTAAGTTCCCTGTTATGGATTTAACTGCAGATCCTAATCTATTGATTAGTCCCCTTGCTTTCCTCTTTCTGGGGCATATTGCCTCTAATCTGCTCTTGATCATCTGTAATTTGTTTTGCAAACCTTAACAAGGTCCCTGTTTCCGAGTCTTCAACTATCTCTGTGAGTGTTCGTTCCAACTGTTCTGTTGCCTTTTGATATTCTTGTAATTTTACTATGTGTATCAATGTTTCATGAGTTTTTATTATCTTTGCAGCGCCTAGATTTATCTGTGCTAGTGGTTCTTCTCCTAGCAATGGCCGGATCTCGAGTTTCCTATCTGCGGCCATGATCCTTGACCACCTGTAATTATTAATCGTTTGGTTTGATTAATCTTCTGATTTTTCCCATATGGATTTTTTGTGGTTTAGTAGAGGTTAGTGTGAAACCGTTGTTTTTCATCACCTTGTGTTTTGAAAAACGAGGAGTTAATTTATCCCTCCTGTTTTCCTTCCTAAATATTTTGTCTCCTGGTTGTACTGTGTCCGGGTTTTGTCGTCGATATTAGCCGCCTCTATTCTTTTGTTCTTTTCTTGCTGAACCTTTTCCTTAATTCTTGGATAAAGCTCCGCTTGAAAGGCATTAATCTTCTGTAAATGATCGAGTTCGTTATTAAAGGACACGTTATTTAGGAAGTTGTGCGTTCTCCCTGTAAACAACTCCTTCGGTGTTAGTTTCGTTGCTGAATGAATGGCGTTATTTTAAGTTATAAATGCCTCATCTAGGACTTCTTCATGCCTGGTTTTAAGTTTCTTTTTCCTTTTTGTCTCGTTTATTAGTCTATATATTTCTGTGATCGTCGAGTGCAATCTTTTGACTGTAGAATTGCTCGACGATTGCTGAAAGGATGTAGTATGTAGCTCTAATTCGTACTGCCTACAAAAGTCCTTGAACAAGTTGGAAGAGAATTCCACTCCTTGGTCACAGACTATCTTTTTAGGCACCCCGATAAGGCCATGAAACTCTTTACTGCCTTAACGATTGTTCATATCGCACCAGGCTTGGTGCAACATCGCTAGCTTGGCATCACTGTTGCCCAACCGGGTAAAACCTCTCTCCATATATGCTCAGGCTTAGACCTCACGCCATATTTTTTGTAGAGCATTAAGAGAAATGAAGTGCATGAAGCAGCCAGTGAATTCAACCCCGAAACCGAATTTTTATTAAACACTTGGAAGGACTCAGCACGGCATAGACCCGCCCCTACATTTGATCCTTAGAACCGGATTCCACCAGCTTATCGTTTCCCACCAGCTAAGTAATTTCAAGGTTTTCTATTTCTATATTTATATTTTTTTAACACACACACTCCGCACTCCAATTGGACTCCATTTTGTGTGAAAAAAAAATATATATATAAACATACCTGTCGTCTCTTTTGTCGATTCTAATTTTCGAGCATAAATTTGTAAAATATACATCATCTTCATTCGCACCTTCACACACATACAAGCTTTAAAGATAGACGAAACCACATTAGGAAAAATCATTCCTAATGATTATATGTTACAATTAAAAGATAGTGTTAAAACAAACTTTAAATCAACGGAATTGGAGCCAAGTACTGCAAAAAATGATTTTTTTTACCCCAGTCCAGTCCACGGAACAAAAGGTACTATTTAAAATGTCAATTTTACAATAATTTTTCAACACTTAAACATTTTTTGAAAAAAAAAACCATTTCAAATAATCTTTACACCCGTTACTCGTATACTAAAAGGGTATACTCTATTCGTTGAAAAGAATGTAGCAGGGTAGAGTTATATATATTCTTGATCAGTATCAATAGCAGGGTAGTCAGTGGTAGAGTTAAATTTATATATACTACTTTCTTTACAACTTAAAAAAAAAAAAACATAAAATTAAGAAAATTTAATGAAATCTTGATTTGAATCGATAGTATGGTCAATGTTGGCCGCGACCTCGCCTTAAGTGCTCCACCCCACCTGCCGGTATTGATAATTCACGGTTCTTGGACATATCTTGGACATTTCATTTCGCCCATTACATGAACGTGTTGATGTCCAACAAGGTAAATTTGGTGCGAAATTTCATCACAGCACCCTAAATAGCCGACAGAGAAGGTCGACGAAACTGTCCATAAAATGAAAGCGCGCGTTAACTATAAGTAGGTTCTTTGACAAATGTTCCTGGATAAGGCCGACCAAATAAATGTTTGGACTTGCTGGTTTCAAGTTTAAAATCAGAATGAATTCTTTATTTTATAATTCTTTTCTCGAAGCCTAATGTTTACATATAATATGCCGACCTAGGGGAAGGGAATCGTAATTGGAGCGGATGCATATATGGGGCTTGGATTCAGCAGTGGTTGCGATGTTTGTTTGGTTGGAAACTTAGTTGCCAATGAAATGTTTGGTTCTAGCTGCTCGCCAACCGTATAGGTTTAGGTGGGGAACCGCCGAGGGAAAGTGACAGGTGGAGCAATGGTTTGTGCGAAACTAGCGGGTGGGGAGACTGGGTGAAGGTGGTCGTTCGCTTAGAGAAACAAGCCACAGCCAATACTATTATCATAATCACTGACAACATGGTATATGTCGCTGTCGTGTGTATTGTTGCTCCCGTTTGTATCCCATTGATCCATAGTTTCGTTTCCAAATCTTCCATTTTTATGTCATGGATTCTCAATTCTTGGATTGTTCTGTTCTTTTTCATGGTTGAAATTTGTATACCACAGCCTTTGTTTTGCCGTACCAAGTTTTTCTACCGCCTCATATTGGACGTTGTTCACCATGGCTCTGCACCCGCTAAATGTGATCATTACTGACTCATTCTGGGTTCTGCTCTGTCCACAGTCTGTTTGCAGTTTTACATTTTCCACTCTGGTTCGAAGTTCCTAGTTACGAGTCCGGCATCCCTCGTCTCACAATCCGCTTCCTTTCCGCTAATCAGACTTTTAAATCATTCTTCATTAATTTGGTTTACAATCTTATTATTCTTACAAATATACAAATTTCTTATCTTCTAACATTTATCCTTATAATAGTACATTTGTTTATTATTTACTACATAATCTGGTGCGATTATGAATTCTGTTTTGTTCATTGGAAAAGGTATCATTCTCTGTAAGTAGTACTCTTCTTTTTTAAAAATTGGTAACCTTATCGAGAAAATTATATCCGTGTTTTTCATAATTGCCCTTAGCTCCAAAAACTCATACATATGCTCCAACAACCTGTATTCCTTGCTCCTCCAACTCTTTTATGCATCTGTTTCCTGTTTATCGTAAGTAAATTTCGAAATTAGTCCTATCTTTGCTAATAATAAACTTTCGACAAACTCATTCAAGTAGCCCTAGCATATCTATTGTTATCGCAATTCTATCGATATATTCTATCCTATAAATCCTCTTGTCTTCCTCTAAAAACGTTTTGCTGATTCCATTCTTGTAATTATTAATAAATGTCGTTACTCGACCTTGCTCCTCGTTTATATATTTTGTCAAGTTTTTAAACATTATCTTGATTTTAGCTCCTGTCCTCTCTTGTGAACTCAAATTCTCTTTCAATCTCCTCTCCTCTTCCTGCATTTTCCTTTGCTCCTCTTCTACCCTTTCTGCGTCTTTCGCGTCTAAGTTCCCTTTTATGGATTTAACTGCAGATCCTAATCTATTGATTAGTCCCCTTGCTTTCCTCTTTCTGGGGCATATTGCCTCTAATCTGCTCTTGATCATCTGTAATTTGTTTTGCAAAACCTTAACAAGGTCCCTGTTTCCGAGTCTTCAACTATCTACGTGAGTGTTCGTTCCAACTGTTCTGTTGCCTTTTGATATTCTTGTAATTTTACTATGTGTATCAATGTTTCATGAGTTTTTATTATCTTTGCAGCGCCTAGATTTATCTGTGCTAGTGGTTCTTCTCCTAGCAATGGCCGGATCTCGAGTTTCCTATCTGCGGCCATGATCCTTGACCACCTGTAATTATTAATCGTTTGGTTTGATTAATCTTCTGATTTTTCCCATATGGATTTTTTGTGGTTTAGTAGAGGTTAGTGTGAGACCGTTGTTTTTCATCACCTTGTGTTTTGAAAAACGAGGAGTTAATTTATCCCTCCTGTTTTCCTTCCTAAATATTTTGTCTCCTGGTTGTACTGTGTCCGGGTTTTGTCTGTCGATATTAGCCGCCTCTATTCTTTTGTTCTTTTCTTGCTGAACCTTTTCCTTAATTCTTGGATAAAGCTCCGCTTGAAAGGCATTAATCTTCTGTAAATGATCGTGTTCGTTATTAAAGGACACGTTATTTAGGAAGTTGTGCGTTCTCCCTGTAAACAACTCCTTCGGTGTTAGTTTCGTTGCTGAATGAATGGCGTTATTTTAAGTTATAAATGCCTCATCTAGGACTTCTTCATGCCTGGTTTTAAGTTTCTTTTTCCTTTTTGTCTCGTTTATTAGTCGATATATTTCTGTGATCGTCGAGTGCAATCTTTCGACTATAGAATTGCTCGACGATTGCTGAAAGGATGTAGTATGTAGCTCTAATTCGTACTGCCTACAAAAGTCCTTGAACAAGTTGGAAGAGAATTCCACTCATTGGTCACAGACTATCTTTTTAGGCACCCCGAATAAGGCCATGAAACTCTTAACTGCCTTAACGATTGTTCATGTCGCACCAGGCTTGGTGCAACATCGCTAGCTTGGCATCACTGTTGCCCAACCGGGTAAAACCTCTCTCCATATATGCTCAGCCTTAGACCTCACGCCATATTTTTTGTAGAGCATTAAGAGAAATAAGTGCACGAAGCAGCCAGTGAATTCAACCCCGAAACCGAATTTTTATTAAACACTTGGAAGGACTCAGCACGGCAAGGACCCGCCCCTACATTTGATCCTTAGAACCGGATTCCACCAGCTTATCGTTTCCCACCAGCTAAGTAATTTCAAGGTTTTCTATTTCTATATTTATATTTTTTTAACACACACACTCCGCACTCCAATTGGACTCCATTTTGTGTGAAAAAAAAATATATATATATATAAACATACCTGTCGTCTCTTTTGTCGATTCTAATTTTCGAGCATAAATTTGTAAAATATACATCATCTTCATTCGCACCTTCACACACATACAAGCTTTACATTTACCCGTCGGCGCTCACAATTAATAAAAATCATCCAACGTTTTATTTTTATGTGAAAATTTATGTTGTGCAGAAAGGAATAGAGGGTTTATGCACATACCAAATATCACATCCACATACACACATACGTAATTCCAAAATCATCCAATTTTATTATTATTTTTCATGTGAATATTTGTGTTGTGCAGAAAGAAACAGGGGGCTTATGCGCATACCAAATATCACATCCACATACACACGTATTATTCTAACATCACAATATATTACACATCCGAATATATTAACATCAAAACATACATACCATAACATCCGAATATTATAACATCAAAACATACATACCATAACATCCGAATATTATAACATCAAAACATACATACCATAACATCCGAATATTATAACATCAAAACAATAACAAATAGCGCCAACAGGAAATTATATAAGTGGAAACCGCACTTGTCGGACGGGCGAGTTAGAGGGCGGCACCAACAAACGATCGCGGCATCCCGAAAAACAAAACCCTATAATTATAAAGGGTTATTTGCTGTTATTTAGTAGCTACGACTATATCATAACAACATTCATTTCTACTTACGTACATATTGTATTAGTGTGAGTGAAATTACGCAGGGTTGCATATCGCCTTTTAGAATAATCTAGCCAATTAAGGTGAACCGCGTTTGCAAACAACTCGAAGCTCGATAAACCTTTTCCACCTTAAAAATAACGACGAAATTAATTATTCGAATAAATAAAAATAAATATTCCAGAAAAAAAAATGTTCTGATTTCACGCGTTCCCAATCCATTTCTGCTGTTTTGTTGTTTGGTGTTATTCAAAATTACCATACATTTAAGTATTAAGAAGTGCTCCACCCACAACAAAATTGAACCATCAAACACCGGTTCGATTTCACGCGTTCCCATTTTTGCTGTTTTGTTTTTTGAATTTGTTAAACATAGCAACAATTTTAGGTATTTAAATCGGTTCATCCAAAAACTAATTAAAACACCAAACCGCGTTCCGGCTCCACGTGTTCCGCATCCAGGTCTTCTGGTATTATATGATTCAACCTACCCAACTATACACATATGTTGTTCCAAATATATTCTCCAAGCACATATCAATTTTACATCGGCAGCACAACTTCCTAGTTGATGCCTTATTTCCATTCATCGGCTCGTCCCATCCGTTTACTTTTTTACTCCTACGCGAGGTTATTATGCCAATCGGTGAAAGTGAGGAATCAAAGGTTCAGTTGATCGTCCCAGCAGCTGGCACCTCACACCGAGTCAGAGCCCACAGCGAGTCGTCACTGCCCACCCACAAGGCAGAATCCAGTAAAACCTTTAGTCCCTCTATTAAGAGAAGCCGTCCATCCAGGACAACAAGCGAGAAGTCCGTATCTTCTCTAAAATCCGTAACTCTGCCAAAAACGAGATCAACTGCAAAAATGACTCAGGCTGACGATGACATAGCTTTGACAAAATTCGTGACTTTAACCGACAGAGTAAGTCAATT